AAGAATAATGAAACGGAAAAAGAGTTTGGTGTGACATGAATAAAAAGACTGACAAAAAAATCTGCGAAAACTTAAATGAGAAAAAATAAAATGCAACTAGAAATTAAATGATAGAAAGCATAGATAGGAAAAATATAGAAAAACACGAATTTTTATATGAAACTAGATTGCATTTGTATCCGATATGATATTGTTGCATAGAAAAAATGTTTAACGAAAAAATTGTACAACAAATTGTCAATATTTTTCACATTTTACAATACAGTTTATTTTATTCTTAAATACCATCAATCGCTAAAAATAAATATAACAAATCAATTGTACCACCTATGATTTCAATCTATAATAAATCTGATAGATCGCGATTAGCAAGTATCTCCTTGCAAGAATCATTGAAAGAGCAGATAAATGTCAAAAGAAAGAGAGAGAGATATATATGTATATACGTGGGTGCTTCAAATAATATCAGCAAATTATAAATATTTTGAGATAAATTTAATTAGAGATTCGATTGGAGACAAATAATATGACATTTTTCTACACCATACATTTAATACACTTCTCACATTAAAAACTGTTTTTGGTTGTGCCTTCTGCCAGGAAGGCCTTGTCATCATTCTCGAATCAGGATCAGATCATAGATCAAAGAAACAATGCATTCCTAGCTAAAGACGCAAGCAAAAATATGTTTTTCTATTGCGTATAATAAAGAAGTCGGTAAGGTAAGTAAAAAAGTAACATATTAAATTTGTACCTCAAATTGAATTGAACATTTGAAAATATTTAATTTGCTGTTACTTCTTGAAGCACTCTCGTACATTCGAAAGCGCGATAGCAAAGATATCTTCTCCACGTTATACCGCTTCGACGTACTTTAGCGGTCAGAGACGCACACGAATACGACAATGTAACCAGTGTGGGAAATGTACGAGCGACTCGTGCATGATTCGCCTGCACTCGCGCTTGCATGCTAAGAGCATATACTATGAAGCGGAGCCGCGCGCTCGTGCCACAAGCCCGTAAGGGTGCGTTTTCGCTTTTGACGGGAAAGTCGGGCGCGTATCCGCATGCCTTAACCCGTATATGCGGGCGAGAATCGCGTTAGCAAGCCGCTTACCACGTTCCGCATCTGCGAGGCAGAAAGCGAGGCACAAGCAAGGTGGAGCCGATGATAAATACAGGGTTCAGCGGCTCTTCGAGCGCGGTTCGGCGTATTGAATTTTGCTCGCAACAACATACGTTCGCGGTTTCGCGGCGGTATCGAAACACACGCGCGGCAGTAAATTTGATTGGGCCAATGACGAGTTATTGGAATACGCGGGGGATATCGCACTCTCTCATCCCCCTCTCGTATTTGCGTAATTAAATCTGCGTACTGCGCGGCCAGAAAATATATTGTAAGTTGATCGTTGAAATATTAATTTACCTTTGTTGCGCGTTGGGCGTATATCAATTTCTCGATTTTCGCGACGATCGATAATGACGAAATCGCATCGATTTCCACGGAAAATCTGATCTAATTTCTCCGACGCGGCGGAGAGTCCTATATACCGCTTAGCGTTCTATTCCTCGACAATAGAACACGTCTTATTGCGCAATGTAACTAGAATGGCGAAGATCCATGAAAGTGATAAGAGAGTCCGCGCGTGTGAAGATCGCAAGGACGTTAAGTCGCTGAGAAAGAAAAAATACGACATGCTAACGCCGTCATGGCCGCGATAATACCCGTTTTAGAAACGATTATGCCAACGACTTGGCATACGAGAATTCATGTATGTGCCACTAATACGGACGCGTAAAAAAATATTCAAGTTAAATATATATGTGATATTAAATTTCGCATAGTTAAATGTATGTCGTAAAAAAACTGGAACACGGCCTCCGGATATATAAATAAAAAAGTTTTTAATAAAATTTTTAAAAACTAATTAAATATGAAAAAAATATTACATTTACATTGTTTGCTTATCGCGGAAGGATTTCTCTGTGCGCCAAGCTCGTCGAATAATTAAATTGAAATTTGAACTGATTAATTCAATAGCAAAATGATAAATTGCAAAAAAAAAGTATTATATTATTTGTATCCTCTGACAAATCAGTCATTGCATTGCAAACGATAAATTTAACTTTTGCTGCATTTGGATTAATATTTTCCATGACGTTTGTCGCTGTGTGACCATGAATCGAGTGACGAGAGTGCAACCGCCAGTTTCCGACAATATTGTCATCGAAATGAGTTTGGATCGGCGGGGAGAACATGCATTTTAACGACTTTTGATATTGAATCTACGTCCAAAGCAATAAATATTATTTCGCTTGTTCATTACTCCGTAATATTTTGCGTGAATAAATGATTAACGTATACGTATGGAAAATTCAATTCTTCTTCAATTTACATTTAATAACCGATTCGTTTTGAAATTGCAATTGGAATATGCCATTTGCCGTTTTCCATGTCCATCTTGACTTAATTCTCGTTTTCATTAGAAGGAGTCGCGGCGCGTATTAATCTCGCTGATAGTGACGCAGTCAGCGGATCGAGTTATACTCCCGTACTCGGTTATATTCCCGGCGAGAAACAATTCGCTTATCAGTAGACGGCAACCCCGTAGGGGTGACGGGGGTGGTTTGATAGACGTCGTCGGTGCCGGTCCGCGCCGCGTCACGACGAATCTATTCGGTTGTTACAGCTGTCGAAACTATGAAATTCAATGCGGCGAATTTGCATGCTAATCCGCGCGCGCGGCGTAAACCCGGCATCCGTGTACTTTGCGCCTGGATGTGTCTAAGTTGTAATTCAATAAAGACAGGAGAGCGCCGCCGGTTGTAACGCTGTGACTCGGTTAACTCGCGCTGCTAACGACTTTAACAACGCACACACGATCAATCTCCGGCGCGAGTGCGGGCGCGGATGTGCGCGCATTTACGTGTGTGCGTATTCGTACGTACGTGTGCGCACCCTTCGCGCGTGACGAAAATTTTCAGCTAGTAATGTTAGGCACTTGGAAACTATGCTGGAAATTATTCCACGGCGCGCTGCCGCCCGGATGAGCGCGTATCTCCTCGTCTAATGACCTCGAAGAACAACGCGCATTTTCAGCACTATAAATTGCGAACGTAACGATCCATGATGTTGGAGCGATTATTTATACGCGGAAATTATTGTTGTAATTGTTGTAATTTGTAGAATCGAGTTCGAGGAAGAACAATTTAGTCAATCTCTAAGATCCAATTTTTGACAAGTATCATAAATAAGTATCAATTTTGTATTTTTTGTCCGTGCAAATGTATAAAGTCATAAGCAAAGTTTATGTACCTTTGTACGGCCTCGAAACGCTTGATCGATAGTCTCGTCGACGCGTCCAAGTCGAATTTCCCACGCCGCGCGTATCGCGCTCTAAAAACAAGGTAACGATTGTGATGATTCATCTATCACGCTATGCTCGTATTATAACTTCTCTACGGCGCGATAAAGCTCATTCCTCCTGCCAGTTCGCTACGGCGCATACCGACGGAATTCCATTTAATGTTAAACGCCTGGCGCGGAGGGAAAACATTGCCGCGACGCGCGCGGAGAAGCGAGATAGTCGAACTGAATTATGTCTTCCACCACCGGTAACGGGGAGGTTTCGCGAGCGATAAGCAATTGCAAGAATTATAATAGCACCTAATAAATAAATTTAGATAACGCGCGATACTTCGGCGCGCGTATATACGCGGCCAATGGGTCCATCGGCTATCTCCCGAGAAATGAATGCCTCCCGCGTATTTTTCCTTTCGCGCGGAAACTAATAAATGAATTCTCGAGCGCCGCGATATTTCAGGGGCGATATCGTCGCGCGACACGCGGCCGAAAAATAAGTTTTTTCGTTCGCAAATTAATTCCGCGCGCGAAATATATTTCTGCATATTATTAATTAAATAAATTTCTGCATATTATATAATTAATTAGATATTTTCTATAATTTTTCATTTATTTAAAAAAAAAAAAAAAAAATGCTTTTTAAATAACACATAATTTGATAACAGACTATAAATTACGCAAAGTATATTTCGTTATTACCTAAACTTGAACGGAATATCAATAAGAAAACTGGAAGGATAAATTATTTCTATACGTTTTGCAAAATTAGAGAATTAAATTGAAATGTAAATGTTTAATTTCTATTCTTTCAGTCTTTATCATTTTAAGAAATAATTGTCATTGTCAATAGAAGTTTAGTAACATTTTCGTTTCGCGTCTATAGTAGCGCGAACTGAATTTTTCGTATTCTTATCATCGGGATACAAAGCTCTCTGTGCAAAGACGATGTTCGACGAGTTTTAGCCCGACCGGGTATCAACCCCGCGCAACTCACTTCGGTAAATTCGAGATAGGACGATAGTAAAACGGAAATGTCTTTGAAATAAAAGCCAGGGGATACGCGTTCGATGGCGGTTTACGAGTGAACACGAGCGCATCGTATACGCGTCCTCGGCCTCGGCGTTGTTCGTCGTCCCGCCAACGTAATTTCCACAAGCTTTTGATCTTCGATTTTTCCGAGAGAGTCACCGTGCGAGAATCGACTCTGCGCCATACGCCTCTTTTGTGCCATCCAGCATCGCGCGTAATTTCGATCGCGTATTCGGTCCATTATGGTCAGGGATTGGCCGAGAGACGCTTCGCGAAATGAAAACGATCCATTGAAGCCTCAACTCTTCCGATCGAAAAGGAACGATGTCCTTTGTCGTTCCGCAGTCTCGTTATTTTGGTGGCGACGACAAATTTTTTCCAACGCTTTGTTTATATTATATTTAACTCTGTCAAGTTATGCTTTACTTTTTATGACAATCTTGGTGATAATATACCATGCTGCGTGGTGATATAAACTTTGAATTTAAATTTAATTTTATCCAAGAAGGTTGAGGAACACAATATAAGACATTAAATAATATGTATCATAAATGTATATAATACAGATGTAAACATATAATAAAGTTGTCGAGAAAGTCATTTGTCGTGACGCTGTCGAATCGAAACAGTCACAGTTTAGCACTCGTTTCGAGAAGATACATATAAATTTGCTCTACTATTAGAAATCGTATATCGGACATCGAAGACATTTATATAAAGTTGGCATCACTAAGAATTCAATTACAACTACAATTATTACTATTTTATTTGATGCATCCTTGCAATTGGTGATCAAATACGTGCTGCTAAAATAGTGTGTGAAAAGATATATACACAGGTAAAATATACTATTATATCATATTATACATTTTGAATTTAAATTTAATTTTGTCCAAGAATAACAAACATTCCAGGTATATATTATAAGAAATGTATACAATATACACATATATGTAATATAAATATAATAAAGATTGTTTGTCGAGAAAGTCCTTTATCACACGACATTTTGAAACAGTTACAGTTTAACACTCGTTTTGAGAAAATAAAATTTGCTCTGCTATTGTAGATATCATATATCAGACATTGAAGGCAGTTATATGTAAAGTTGATATCACAAGAATTTAATTATAACTACATTTGTTTGATACATATAATTCTCGACGTCGGTAATCAAATACGCGCGAGTGTGAAGATAAAATATAATGAAAGCAAAATTTAATTACTTTAACTAAAACATATGACAATACGGAAACTGAGCTATAAAATGTCTTTGTTCCAGACTCTTTCATTTATAAAATTGAAAAGTAAAACTAAATATTATATTTTTATTTAGTATTGTATGATAGTGCTGCGTATAACTATTACTATAATATAAAATCTATGTTTTTTTGTAAAAAAAAAAGTATAATTAATCTGTAAGGCATCTTTTTAAAATGCGATTATAGTTTTCCTATTGTTTTATATTAGTCCAAAAAGTAAATAAATAATAATAATTAAAAGATATATGTAGGATAACATATGCAATATCTCTATAAAACTAAATAAAAATGCATATTATTTTTATACATATATATATATATATACATTTCGTTTGATACATTTATTTGAGTATATATATTAATAATATATAAATAAGTTACATCGTGAAATATTTGTTGGAATAAATTTAACTAACTTTATTTAATTTTTATAAGATTTTAATAAGATTTTTTATATATTATATTAAGTGTATCATTTGTTGCAGAATTAATAATGTCTTCAATCAAGAAAAACTTAGAAGAAACGTCTTCAGAAAATTCAGAGAATGATATGAAAGTACTTTTTAATTGTCATTGTCGTACAACATTGAATTACTATATATTTGAATATACATGGAACATTGCTGACTTTTGGACAATATTCAAATTTTTATCAAATTTAACAACTCCTGACACTGGAAATCTACCTTTTAAGATTAGAGCGTATTTTGATAAGAAAAATGATACAGTGCGCTTTTTCAGTTGTAGTATTGGACAAATAAAATTTTATGTTAACTTTTATATTCATATACAAACTATTAAAGGACCAAAAATGGCTGTAAGCAAGGAAAATGTTTATTTAAATAACGATAAGTTCATATATGGTATAGATCTAGCATGCATTCGTGATGAGATTACAATATACATACCTAATAACACCCTTGCAGTATACTTTAAATTCGAAATACCCGAAAGTGTATCACACAAAACTATATATGAAACTATGTTAGAATCACATACGTCTATGTTAAATACGTTTGTTCTAAATGAGTCAGATTCATTCGTTACATTTGTAGTAGAAGAGAAACATATTTCTATAAACAAAAGTTTACTATGTTCAAAAAGTAATGTCTTCGAAGTTATGATTAACAATGCTGAAAGACAAGTGAAAGAAAATGAGAATCTTACAATAGAATTATGCGATATTACGTACGATGTTTTGAAACATTTATTGCTTTATATAAAAACTGGTAATCTAGATAATCTTAATGATCTTAAGGAAAATGTAGATTATAATATAGATACAGTAACGGATATAGTATACAGCCTTATTGTAGCAGGTAATAACTATAATATAAAAGATCTCATATTATCATGTGAAAAACTTTTAATACGAAATACATCCGAAAACAATGTTGTAAAACATTTGCATATTGCGCATGTAAACAACGCAAAGTTACTTGAGAACTATGCCATAAGGTTTATTAAATTATATGAAAATAGTATTGTAAAAAAATCATGTTTTAAAATTTTAATGGATAAGTATCCTAATTTGTTAATAAATATTCAAGAAGTAAAATTAAATACCGTAACAATTCCCATTGAATAATAAATACAAATTTTCAATTTATTTAGATCAAATTGCAATTAGATTATTTCTAATAAAATAAGTAGGTATATTGTTGGGACTTTTAATCCTCAAAAGAAACTTTTGGTATCGGCTGAAAGTCTTAACAATATACTTTATTTTGATTCCAATAAAATTTTTCTAGCATGTTATATATTGTAGTTATAATATAAAGTTCGTGAAAAAAACCCTTTTTGCAACTTTAATTAAAAATTTCTCTAAATTGTGATATGATAGAATAATTTAGAAACCAGATTTGTATTTAGCATCCAAAAAACTATAAGAAATGACTAGTCTTGTTCCGGTTAATTTTTTTTTGTTGAACAGTGTAATAGATGATTTAATGTGCGTGTATCTTGTATAAGCGTTATTAATTTTTTTTATAGAAATGAAAAATTATGTATAATATTACCGTATAATGTAATTTTAAATTAGAAATATATCATATAAAAATGTATAATTTAATTTCCTTTATAGTTTTTTTAATTCAAAATTATGGATCTAAGAAATATATTAAAATTATTAAATAACAGAAACATACATTATAGCAAAGCATTTTATATAATTTATAAGTATTGTACATTACCAAATTCTCAGATTTTCTTTTTTATATATTTTTTTATTATTTATCATTATAAAATTAATAGTTCGGATAAGTTTCTAGGCAACTCTGATATCATTATCGCGTGCAGTAATCGCCACTCTTAATGAAACGTTATCGTCAGTGTAGTAACCGCAAGAGGGTTAATGCGAGGCGCACGTTTATGCTGTATTGCAAATGTCATCGTTTGAGATATCTAGTCTAAGACCGCAATGCACGGAGAAGGCGAGAATATATAGCGTATCAGACTGCAGTAGTTAGACGGACTGCAAGCCTACGGAGTAATGCAGGATGCGTTGTAGTCAGACCGCGGAGTAGTGCCGACTACAGGCTTGTCAGTGATAGAGCGGATAATATGTCAGACGAACGCGGGACACGATGTACATATCGTTCCGCCGCTAAGTGACGTTAAAGTCATGTATACGTTGCTGCGTAATGATGATTCATGATTGAACAGCGATTACAATTAAGCGATTAATTACTTTTAAACTCAAATAAAACAAGATACCGCACTTGTGTTTTTTTTTTATTTCGCTGAATCATATTTGCGTATATAACAAGCCTAGTATAACGCGTATACTTGTAATTCTGTTATTATAAAATACAGTATTGTCATGTATTTCACGGACGATGCGAATTTTTCAGTTCATCGAATTGATTTGCATCTCGCGGAAATCCCGATATCTCATTCCGGTTTTCGGGTTTCCTTTATCGGTTTCTCGTGCGATATCACGGATGTCCGGAGTGTCAAAGTACGTTACGCTTACAGGAGCAGGGAACTACGCTATTGTGTATTATAATGTCGTCTACTTGAATACGCCAGAGACTACCAGAGTCTCCCACCCGGTATATCGGGTTTTTCTTTACGGTTTGTTTATGTCGCATGCGCACAATTCGCCCCCGAGAGCCGTCGACTCTCGTCCACCCTTCCAGTCGCCGGGAAGCGTGCGGATGTTTTGCATCGCTCGTCGTTCGGTCGTCGGGTTTTCCTGTCAGTGGAGGTGAAGAATTTTCATTTCTGTCATTCACGCGTAGGAAAATCCATCATTGCATCAATCGTGCGCCGAATCTTTCCACACTTCGAAGTATGGTTTACGCCGCGATGAAACAGTGTGATCGTTGTGCGAAATTTCGAAGTTGACGGAATGGCCTCGGACAATCGAATGCAATTAAGACTTTACGTCGGTGACTCGCACTTGAGTACGCGGGTCTGTTTACGTGTCTCGTAATAGCGCTCTCAAAAATTTTTCTTTCTTATCGCGATTTACGAAACGCGACGAATCCAAAAGAATATAATCGATCGCGAATAGAGGCGAGTCTTCATCTTGAGAATATATCGGATCGAATAATCGAAATGTAAAAAAGGTGCAATCGCTTGCTGTAGGTATATATATATATATATATATATATATATATATATCTACGTTCAGCTAATTAGTTAGCAAGATACTGATATAACTATCGGTGTTGATATTCTTGGAAGAATATTACAAGAGAAACGTTCGTGATTTGAACAGATTCGTAAAGTTCAACAGATTATACCAATCCCGAGATGTGATAAGAATTTCTGGGTTATCAAGACTTTAACGCATATATATTAAAATACGGTGTGAAACTTAAAGTGAATGAAGAACCGAAATTTCAGCCAAACAGGGATTACGCGGATTGGAGCCGACTCTACGTACGGTAAGCGTATCTGAAATATCTGTGTATTTTGCACCGCATGTTAAACATATTCCAACATTTATTTCGTTATCCGAAAATATCACGAGTACATTCCACACGGGAGGTACTTAGTTAATAAGTTTCACAGAGATATCGACGGTATGTGACCGTACTAAATTATGGCTACTATAGTACTCGGTCAGACTACCTAATTGATTTTACTCAACGGCTTAACGTCAGGTAAACGTCAGGTTGGCAAAGTTGGTGGATGTAATACAAGTACTTAGCGGCTTATCTTCCTCTATTACATATGACCGAAAGAAAAAAAACTCGTGTTAAAATCTTACCGCGAGCTCTTTGCCGGGATAATCCGGCCTTTGATAATAGCCTTGGCGCACAATTCGCTTCTATTGTGTACAAGAGTGAGAAAAAACTTGGTGCTCGCGTCTCGACATAATCCGTCTCTCATAATAATCCGTCAGAATAACAGCAACATTTTTGTCGTAAAATTTCTTTTTTGCAATCTTCAATGTAAGAAGCATTTATTACATTTTAACGATGTATTTTATACATTTTATATCTTATACATTTTTTATCCATTTTGTATATCTCCGTACAGACTAATTGAAAATTCGAATAATGAGCGAGTCGATAAGCGACACTGTCCTTCGTCCCCCTCGAAGCGAGAAAACTGTTTTTGTCGGAGTCACTCGATGCTGGTGGAAATTAGTTTTCACGGTTCGTTAACATTATCTCAATATATACACGAATGCATTTGGTTGGTGTCGCGATATCTCTATCAAGGGTCGGCGGACGGGCAATTGATAATCCAGCTGGGCGACGCTGCGTCATCCTGCGAATATCGTTAGCAATTGGTTTTAGCGGTAATGAGTATTCATTGACATTGATTGGACGCCGGTTAGACAGGACTAATTGATCCATTAGACGAACAAGGTCTTTCCTTGAGGGCTCGATATCGCGAAGGTCTCGCTAGCCTCGTTAGCACATCGTCGTTAACATATTATCTATCTACCCTAAGCGTGCGCGAGCGCGCGCACGTTAATAGATAACGAAATTTATATATGATAACGACGAGACAGGGGAAATATATGGAGCGTAAGATCGCATTAATGGCGATACGGTACATCCGAGATTCGCGTGACGCTATATAATCGATCTCTCGCAACCGCAACGTTTCGGTCGAGAAACGCATGCTGAGGAGAAAAAAAAAATATATAATATTGTATCGATATACAATAAATTTTCCCCATAATTTATTATTAATTCTAATTCACTTTGTGTCTTATCCCCTAGTCATAAACCAGAATCACTCAACCGCGTCTTCATCTGATAATTCAGGTTCGCTCAGCGACTCGCGTTTGCGTTAATGATGACCGCATTATTAATTGCTATGCGGGCGCGTTCACGTCGGCTCCCGTCATTTTGTTCTTGTGTACGTAAGCGGAACGAGAACACCATAGGTGGTCGCGACCGTGCTTCCAGCCGGGCGATCGTCTTTCACCGTAATAAAGAGCTACATAATTTAAAATGACTCGTTGGAGATAGGGACTTATAAATCGTTTCGGTCGCTAGGGGTGGGTCAACATTATCGCGTTATCGGAATTACGAGCGGCAGTCTCATTGCGCACACCCTACGTGACGTCTTTATTGTTTACCACGTTGCCCTGGTATCATCCCCCGTGCGTGAGTCGTGTTCGAATGCGAGAGCAATAGCTTAGCCGCTCGAGGCGAAGCATCAGAAATCGAGATATTTTAATCAATGAGATAAACAATATGAAAGTAACGTGTGTGTGTGTGTGTTTACCTTCTCAGATTACGTTAGCATGTGCAATGCGAATTTTTTTCTGACATTAATTAAAGGAAAGACTATTTGACTTGTTGCATGGAGAAATCTGAATGTATATGTATATATTTGTATATATAGGAGGAAAAAGAAGGAAAAAGAAATGTACTTATATATGTATATAAAAGCTATTTCTTTTTCTTCCCCTTTCTCTTTCCTTTATAAATGCCGATCTCGATTGAGTTCGAGTCGTCGAATATCTGTCGATAAAGCATGAAAGAGAATATTGCCAGTTTATTTTCTCATATTTTCCGTCGGGTCGAGATGATCAGTCTGAAAGATAGAAGACACGATTAAACTGTCCGACCAAAACGTATTACATATTTGACGGAAGGCTCGCAAATCGGTAATCGGTTTCTCGATTTGCGAAACGAATTAAAGTTGGCCAGTGTTTGTTAGCACAAGTCATCGGCACGGGCGTAGACCATTTGCTCGCTCTGGCATCGGCTAATAGTAATAGGAGCTTGACATTTATAAACGATGGGAGGGAATGAGTAAATAATATATCGGTATTATGAAGCATCATTTCAACAATCGCGCATGATTTGGCCGGTATAAACCATTTGCAATCGATAGCCATGCATCATTCCCGATGTTTCAATTATTCGGAAATGATTCCACGTTGAGCCAGACAATATATCCGCGATATACACGCGTCAACACTGAGTATTCCATTTTGCTTTACTAAAAAATTCCAGCCTCTCCCCGAAAGCTGTAATTACGCGTTCGTAAAACATCAACCGGACGAATACGCGAACGATTGCATGCTACATATCCGCACGTTACATGCAATCACTTTAGATTAACAACGTATTCGAGAATTACGGCGCTTATACGCCAATCGATCGCTTCGCACGTAGCGCTGTTCATTTATCATTTTTACGGACTACGCGCGGAGCTCTTTTTCCAGCCATTCAAAAATTCACCATGAGAGCTGCTCTCTTTTTCACTCACTCACTCTCTCTCTCTCCCTGCCTTTTTCTTTCTTCCTGTTTTTTCCTCGTTCTCTCTTTCTCTCACCTTCTCTCTTTTTCTCTCCTTCTCGGGATCAGTCTGTCAGAATTCATCGGACCGGCGAGATGATCGAGCGTTTAAATATGTAGCACCGGCCGTCTCTCGCACCGTTTCCTCGTTTTTCGCACCCGAAACTCCGTCCGGAATTCCGCAGGGTGGAAGGTATCGCCATTGACGATATCGTGCCGCGTGGTGAGGCAGCGAGCGATAAATTTTTCAGAATTTTACGATTCTTCGCGCCAACGGTATGCGCGATTCGCCGCGAAA